CCCCCCCCCCCATTATTTAAATGCCACACTTCAATTGAATTTATGTTGCTAAAACTTTCTTCAGGTTAACAATTTAGCATACAAAAAGTAATGATAATATCTGTACAATATTTATAGGGAGCTTATACCCAGATGCTTATTATTTAAAAAAAAATTGCTCGATCAAGGCACCGAATGTGCTTGCGCCATCATCGTCTTCAAAAAAAAAAACTTTTTTCATGGCAGTACCATGAAACTCCCATGATATAAAAGGGGTTTAATGTCCAATCACGAAACTCTTGAAAAAAGAGGATGAATTGAAAAATACTTAATACTCGAAAACTAGGTACAGAAAACTAACTAGACTGACCTAGCAGATAGATAATGAATACACATACAAAAACATCAATTGAAGCAGAGAATGCGATAGCATTATTTGGCCGTAAATGAGCAAGCTGAAATTGCCGTAGCAGAAAATCAATTAATCAGAAAGCACCGGGAAGAGCCACAGATGTCCATAAACCTCTTAATTCACACCAACATGTATGTAAATCTCCTCCCACTTCAAAACCCTGATCCCACTTCCGCTTGCGCGCATTAATGAATCATTAAATTGTAACCCATTCTTTGTCCTCGTGTCCAATTTTCAACATATTTGTTACCAATGCCATCGACAATTATGTTGCATTCCATTACCAGCTTCAAACAAGATACTCCATATTATCATTTTACAGAGTAAAAAAAGAGAGATACACCAAAAGAAAAAAGGACAAACCACATCTTAGGGTTCCCGAAAGAGAAAAGTGATACAAAAAGAAAAGAAAAGGGAAGCAACCCACTATTGCCAAGGGTGCAAGAAGTGGGGAAAAAAGGTTACAAGCACTTTTTTTAAGTTTTTGATCTTTTTTTGGGGGGACAGTTGACCATGCCCTAATCTGTACAAGTTCTTGGTCTCTTCTTAAAGGTAGATGCCCAATCACCCATCACACTACTTTCTGATGATAAGGGGCTCAAGCTGTCAAAATTAGACTCCCACAATGAAAATGCATCATCATCATCTTCTTCTTCTTCTTCTTCACCAATCTGTACTTGTACACAAAAACCAAAAGAATGTGTTACTTGGTGCTACTAGAAACAATATTTTATTTCTATTTTGGTTAGGATTCTTCACGCCGTAATCTCCATACCTGAGAGAAACCATAACCAGGATCAAGAAGAAGTTCCTCCAAATGGTAGCCAGGAAGCATCTCCAGGTACTCAAACATGGGGCTGCCACCACACACCATCAAACCATCATCCCCTTCTTGTGCAATCGCCATCATCATTTGCTCCTTCTTCCCACTCCCTCCTCCACTGCCATTCGAAGTCGTCATCAAGCTGCCAATGGCGCGAGGAGGAGGAGGAGGAGGAGGAAGAACACTCATATGCTTATTATTGGGTTTCGAGTTCTGTGACGACTTGATCAGATTTGCAGCAGCAGAGGAAGAAGAGGAAGAAAAAGAAGAGAGGGTTGCAGAGAGCTTGACCCCAGTGAGAAGAAACCTGTTGTGTTTCCTGGTCCTCTCGTTATTGGGTCTGTGAATATCCCCATCGCACTCTCTGCACAGGATTGCCCTGTCCTGCTCGCAGAAAAACAGAGCATTCTTCCCCTGTACAAATAATATCGCAGCAAATTCAACAAGAAAGCAAGCTAGCCTAGCCTAATGTATATAATAAATGCAAGAAACGAAACTAGACTAAACCTGGCAGATGTCGCAGAGGGGAGGCTTGGAGTGACTGGGGGAAGGGTGGAGGAGGGAGAAGCGTTGATGCAGTCTGGAGAGCTTGTTGGCACTGTGGACTCTTTGATCACAGTGGGAACAGAGGGCGGCTTCATCTGCCACGCAGTAGAAACATGCTTCCCTTTCCCCGCATGCCTCGCACTGGATCTTCATTTTATATGTTTCTTCAGTTTCAGATGCATATATAATAATAATCGCATTCTTCACCTTTACTCGATCAGCCCCGTCGTCTATATATATATATATACGGAATATTAAAAAAGGTAGAGATAATAATAATGGAGTTGATCGAGTGGATTGAGATGTCAGTCATCTCTGAATGTATGTATGTGATAATACAATGGAGGCCGGTGTGGGAATCATTCATCTCTGAATGTATGCCATAATTACTCAACAAATATTTGCACTGAATAACACTGAAATTTAAGTCATTTTCCTAAATAGTATTTAAATTGTTTTATTCTTTAAATAATACTTCATAATATCTATAATGTTCAGTGATGACAAATAATGACTAATGCATAATGACTAAAAGTGTTACATTGGAAAGAAAAACACATGTGGTGGTATTTAGGGAAAGTCATTATGTTTTAGTGATATTTAAGTAAATTTCTCACCACTGAGTTGTTAAGGTTATTGTAGTATCCACTTGAGTCCACCTCATTCACTCCAAATTAACAACCAACCCGTGTTACAGAGTAGCACTAGTCATCTTGTCACTCACTTAACCTAGATACCAGTCACCTCCACCCTATTCATCACACAATTACTATTTTTATCTAATATTTAGTCACTCTGTTCAAATTGGATCTTTCAATTACGCGTTACGAGTTTGACTTGACCAATTTTACTCACAATTCAACTCTTTTTATTTGATGATCACGGGAACCCACTCCGCTTGACTCCAAAGATGACAATCACAAGAGATTTTATATATACACGAACGATAATCACCTGCCTTATATAGACGATTATTGTTTATGTATGTGCTCCGTATAATATATACGTGATCGTCATCAGCGGGGACACATCCATGGTGGGTTCCTAACATTTTTTTATCGTAAAAAGGCCGAGCACGCATTCTTAGTCTTGTTTCTTTCTAGGGCATAGTTCCCCTTTTCATCCTCGGCACATGGACCTCCTTCTAGGGCATAGTTTCCCTTTTCAGCGAAAAATAAAGAAATTAAAAGAAACACAAATTGACGAAGACTATTTGGCATTAAAAATAACATTTTTGAAAATAACATCCATAGATACATTTTAATTTGTATGTTTTTAAAATTCATCTGCACTATTAAAATATTGTCGAATAAATAAATGCTAATCCGAAAATTCTAACCAAACAGTAATAATAATGACCTGAATATTGTAAGAGAGAAAATTGAGGGGATATATAGTTCTAAACAATAGATAAAAGTGAAATTTGCACTAAATAGGACTAAAACATAATTACTTTCCTAATGTAAGACTTAAACTTTTTTATTCCCTAAATAAGACTTAATAATGACCTAGTGGAAGAAATAATGTCCAGTAATGATGGACATTAAGTTGAATAATGACTACTTGATAATGACCAAAGGTCCTACATTGGGAAATAAAAACATATGATCCTATATTGGGAAAGTCATTATGTTTTAGTCCTATTTAGTTAAATTTCTCTAGATAAAAGTTTGAGGTTTAAAATGTCATCCATGACGTAATATTTGCAATAAAGAAAGAAAATAACGAATTAAAATAGAACCCTGAAACAATAAATAATTGTGCTAACAGAAGACATTGTTAAATCAAACCATATAGGCTGCCCATGCACTGTCACCCCCACACTTTCACTGCCAGCTCTGACCCTATTTGAAGAACACCATACCACACTTTAATTCCTTAATTAGGTTTGTAGTTTGGATACTAATCATCTATCTCTACTTTGGACTTTCAAAATTAATAAAGGGTCTCCTTGACATCCAACATTAATGTCATAGATAAGGCTTCTAATAATAATAGGGCCTCTTTGGGAATATCGTTAGAGATTAGCGTTAACGTTTTGGATAAAATTTTAACGGTGCAGATTATTTTGAAAACGCTAAACACTGCCCGTAGATAGCCTTTTCAAAACGCTAATGCTATTCTCAAACAGGCCCATAGACTGTTTTAAGAATTTATTCGAATAAATTCCGTAAATGGTACCTTATGATGTATGATTTGTTTATATTTAATCATCAATTTTAAGATATCAATATGTGGTTTTCAATTTTTAAAAACTATTCCATAATCAATTAAGACTATATGTAGAAAAAATATTTGGATATAATTGCTCGATTTAAAAGAAAAGTTATAGAATAATTTTCAAAATTGAGAATTACAAATGTAATATCTTAGAATTGATGACTAGATATTAAAACCTCCAATTTTAAAAATTTATTTGTTAATACTCTCTCTGTCCACCATAGATTTTCTCAGACACTATTCACATAATCAAACTTAACTTATTTTGTTTGCTTATTTTTACTACTCGTTTCATAAAATGATATAGTGTTTTTACATCTAGTTTTGTAAAACTTTTCATGTTGTTTTTTACTGTACAAATTTTATTTTTAAATTTTACTCGTATAATCAAATAAATTGATTTGAAAATTAAGTCGGTCAAACCTCATAACGCATAATGGAAATATCTTAGGTGGACCGTGGGAGCACAAGGTCTTTGGCACCTTTTTATAATAAGATTATTCTCTCAGGATTCATATATATAATCATATAAAATAAAAAAACCAACGATTCTACCAAGATTTAAATTTTACTATGTGATATTATATCTCTACATTACGTTTTTGATAGTATTTTACTCCATCCGTCCCAATTTATAGTGCATGTTTATTATTCGCAAAGTCAAACTTTATCCACTTTCTTTTTCTATTATTTTCATTACCAATTTGATAAAAATAAAGTATTATTGTCACTACTAGTTTTGTAAATCTTTTGATGTAGTATTTTAATATGTAATTTTTATTTTTTTAACTTTATACTATTTGTCATATAAAATGATTTGAAAATAATTTATGTCAAACATCGTAAACAGAAACAGACACTATAAATTGGGACGGAGGGAGTAATATTTTATTTGTGAAATGATGAATGCCTTATAACGGAAACAACTCTTATTTTTAAAATGAATTACTTTCATAAAAGAAACATAATCTGTACGAAATATACGTTAGTTGAATTGCAATTATTTTAAGTTCAGAATGACAAAATATAATTTTGATATTGCATTGGTATATTATTTGTGCCTTGAATTAATCTCACAAGGATAGGATATTTAACTTTAGGATATAATACTAACATAAAGATAAAATATTGGTATATTTATGTTTAAAAATAGTGTCATAAGGATTCTTGACATTGTTTTTAAATACTACCTCCGTTTCTCAAAACAATTCCCCTTTTGACTTTGGGGAAGAATAAGGAAGTGTTAAATTGTAGTTGACTTTCCAATTTTGCCCTTGATGTGATGGGTAAAAGTAAGATGTGATGGTTTAGTTGTTAGTGAAAAAGTATGATGTGATAGGTAGGGTATGAAAAAGTAGGGGTAAAAGTGGTTTTTTAATAGAAAAGGGAAGTGTTTTAAGAAAAACAAAAAAAATGAAAGAGNTTTAAATACTACCTCCGTTTCTCAAAACAATTCCCCTTTTGACTTTGGGGAAGAATAAGGAAGTGTTAAATTGTAGTTGACTTTCCAATTTTGCCCTTGATGTGATGGGTAAAAGTAAGATGTGATGGTTTAGTTGTTAGTGAAAAAGTATGATGTGATAGGTAGGGTATGAAAAAGTAGGGGTAAAAGTGGTTTTTTAATAGAAAAGGGAAGTGTTTTAAGAAAAACAAAAAAAATGAAAGAGGAAAGATTTTAAGAAACGGAAGGAGTACAAAACATATCGAGCTTTCTTGACATAAATAACAACATTAATGTTACTCCCTCTGTCCCGTTTTAAATCACCCGTTTTGACTTTTGGGCATACTTAAGAAAAATTAAAAATAGAGTTGATTTTTCGAAATTGTCAATACTTTTTAGGAGGGGTGATGATGAATGAAAATATAATGTGGAGAAGATTGACTTATTTTAGAAGTAGTTTAGGTATTTTATTTTTAAAAGTTTATGAAAACAACTAACATGCAACTTATTTTGGGACGGAGAAAAAAGGCAAACATGCAATTTAAAATGAGACGGAGGTAGTATAAAGCATTTGCAATAATATATTTTTATAATGATAATTGCTGCCTCCCATAAACATGCTTCATCATCATTCTTGATTTCAGCTAAGATAGATTGCTGCTGACCTATTGTAATTTTTAAGCGTCTCTAGCTAGAATGAGCTCAAATGAATACCATTATTGATTCCCCAATTAGAGTCTGGATTACTAATTTCCTTCTATTCTCCATGAACATAGATGCAATAATCTGCCCCTCCCTGCTGACCGCAGAGTTACAACAACCCGTCCCAAACTCTACGGCGCACGAGAAGCAAACGATCGGTCTGGTATTTGAGAATGGTACGAGATAATTTTCTGTTAGAATATAAATAATTCTTTTTGGGCCACAACCACAAACAGTGGCGGAGCCAGGATACAAACGATTATTGGAGGGGCACCAGCTACATTACATTACAGGGTTCGAAGGGAACATACAAAAAAAATTCCGAAGATAACATAAAATGATAAAAGGATGTGCAAATATTTTTCCTTTCTAGGATGACAAACTTTTTATCTAATAGGGTATATAAAATTTGACCATTACAATAATTCCAAATAATATAATTTGGGTCCACATTTTGATCATCAATAAATGTACGAGTAATTTTTATGGATACTAAGTATGGAATAAATATTATAAAAATTTGAAATAGAATATATTAAAATTACATCTTAAAAATAAATCTAATTATATTAAACTTACATTATAAGTAAAATGATTCTTTTTTAAATTTATAGTGCAAATTTGTAAAACAAAATAAAAAAAATTAAAAGAAATCCTTGGAGACTGATAAATGACAATTACCATTTAGCTAGAGGAAACGCAAAGCAAAGTAAATATTATTTTAAGCATTAAAATAATGATAATTCACAATTCAACAAAACAAGTTACTCCGTATTCAACAATCAAGGAGCAGTGGAGCACTCCGTATTTACTAATTAAAGGATTCAAGGAATTGAATTGTTCTTAACCTGAGATTGGTGTACGGAAGATGCAGCGGTGCATGGTTGGAGTAGCTGGGTCCGACGTAGCGGCGTCCGGCAACGTAACGGCGCTACTGCAGGGGAAGAGGTCAGGCTGTATGCGATTTGAGATCCGAAATTCCAAATAAACTCCTCAATTGATTTTTTTTGAGAAATATCCTTAATTTAATTGGAGCAAGAACTAATTAAAAAACTCATCCTCAAAACAACCGCAAATTATATGGTACATCCAGCTTTACCTTCCTTTAAGTACATCCTGGTATTTTTGTAAATTTTGCAAACTTTTTATCTAATGTCAAGAACATATATGAGAACTATTATATATGACAATGAGTACCAGCAGATTTGAGAAAGAGTACCAGCACTTATGAGAATTATCACATTTTTATTCAATATAAACATGAATAAATCTGAGTTTTAAATTTTCCATGCTCAGAAAGTATAAATGAGTAAGAACGAATCGAATAGAGGAAGAATTTGATAATGGTACTGAAATTTTTAATTATGATAAAATTGAACAATACTTTATTTCAGAATGAACATTTCCTTATTTGAGAATGAGTATTGTTTTTTTAAAGAATGAACACCACGTTATTTATTATAATTATATTAGATAAATGTGTAAAAATGAGTACTTCTTTATTTTAAAATGAGTACTATCTTTTCCAGGATGAGTCCTACGTATTTCGAAATGAATGTTTATATTTGTACGAGAATGAGTACTACTTTATTTAAGATTGAGTACTACCGGGATGTACCTATTTCTAGGTACATCTGGATGTACGATATACCAACTCCAAAACAACGACGTTGCACTAAGTTTTTCTTTTTAAAGAATTTCAAATCCAATCAAAGAATAACGAGAAGGAAGAAAGGAACTGCTGTAGCAGCACCACCGGTGGGGCACCTCTTCGCCGAAAGGAAACAATCGCCGGCTGACACCTCTTCACCGGGGGGCACGTGCTCGGACAGGCCCCCCTTCCTCCGCCCCTGACCACAAAGCTTGAGCTTTTGGTTGGGTTGATTCCTTAACATGGTATCAGAGCCTTGTTGACTAAGAGGTCACGGATTCGAAACTTAGTGCCACCCAGTTTTAAGAAAATAAAAAAGTTTCACGTGCAAGACTCGAAAAAGGCTACGCCTGCACGTGAGGGGCGTGCAAGAATATAAATAACTCTTTCTGAGCCACAACTACAAAGTTTGAGCTATTGGTTGAGTTGGTTCATTGACATTTCTCATATTGAAAATCTCAAACCAAACATATATACTACTCTATAATATATTGTAAAAATAATACTATAACTATTTTCAAAATTTAGTTTAAGTTTCATTATATGTAAATTGTATTTTAATTTGAGTTTTAATTTTTTGTAGATGAATATATAAATTTTTAAAAACATTTAAAATATTATTTTATTATCATTCATTCTCTTTAGTTTGTGAAATTTCAACTAAGTTTCATAAGTATTTCTTGTATTTAATTACTCCGTATTCATTTTTTTTAATATTTATCTTTCTTTAATTAGTTAAATGTATTTTGGATTTTTCAAAAATAAAAAGGTTTTGTTACATTATAACGTTAAACTAGATACATATATATTTATTCCGGTTTGTACTAAAACCAACATTGGACCCATAGTTTTAAAAACCGAATCGACTGGTCCGATTCGGACCGAGAATGGTGAACTGTACCCCAAACTAGCGTGGTCCAAGCAATCAGACCGTATTCGACTTGGATTCAAACCAAGGATCACATGATGGAAAATGGCACGTTTCTAACCATCCATGCTACAATGCTTGGTGTCAACTTTTTGCTATTTGTCTATAATATTCTTTAATTACAAAGTTTTTTTATCAAATACTTTAAAAAAGTATAGAGTTTTTTTTAACTGAAATTCAAAACCCATTGATATAATTGATATGAAGTGCATATCACACAAATATTATATATATATATATATATATATATATATATATATATATATATATATATATTAAATACTGTGTAAAATGTTTTTTAAAAAAATAAAATCATTTTTTATTTATAAGCTTTTTTAAATATGTGATTTTTGGCCAAATAGCGTCAGTCGCCCTCGTGGTTTGCAAAAATAGGCAGCAATACCCCCATGTTCTCAAAACTTATTTATAAAGTCCTTGTGGTTTCAAAACGCTGCACTCGTGCCCTCTTTGATCATTTTCCGGTCATTTTTCCGGCGAAGAAAGGGGGCATTCGTGCGTATTTTCTAAACCATGAGGGGTACCAGTGCTGATTTTTTATTTCTCTCTTTTTTTCCCTTTTTTTCCTTTATTTGTTTCATTTATTAATAAAGGTTATTTTACAATTACTTTTATAATGTTCTTAAAATTTAAAGTTATTTTTGTTTGAAAAAATTAACATATAATAAATCGGCACGTCTCAAGTTAAGAATTTTTGTTTTTTCCGAAAAAAGGTAATTTCTTAAAAAACTTCTAAAAAATGATGAGTAAAATAAGACACAAAATAATACAAAAATAAAAATGATTATCCTTTTTGGACATCTCAATTTTAAGGATATTTTTAGGCGTGTTCCAAAATTGTTTTTTGTAGAAGACTCTTTTTTTCGTATTTTAATTTTTTCATTTCGTTTTTCCATATTTTTATTTTGGATTTTCTTTTGGAACTTTCCAAAAAATTATTCTATGTAAGAAAAAGTGAAAATGTTTAATTTGAGATAGATGTAATGTATGTTAATTTTTTTATTAGTTCAAACACAAAAAATTTTAAAACATTATAAAAAATTGAAAAGAAATTTAAAAAAATCTAGGAAAAGGAAAAAGAAGGAAAAACACAAATAATAAATGAAAAATAAGAAATGAGCATGAGTGTCTCATATGGTTTAGAAATTATGCGCTAAAGTCCTTCTTCGCCGGAAAATGATCAGAGGAGGTGTGGGTGCAACATTTTGAAACCACAAGGACTTTAAAAATAAGTTTTGAAAACAAAAGAGGTATATTTTTTTAATTAGAGGTCACAACTTAAGTAAATTAAGTTAATTAGTATAAATTTAGTCAAACATTAATTATTTATATATAAATAGAGGAAATATTATTTTATTTACTCATATATTAGTTTTTTTAATTCAATGCCACAATGTGTTTTATATATATATATATATATATATATATATAATATTAAATAATTATAATTTTAATTTAATTTTTTTTAATGAATTAAATTTTTTTAATGAACTATTTTCATTTTAATTCTTTTAAATAATTAAATATTATTAATTTAATTTTAGAAGATGTGTATTTAAAATGTAATAGTAATTAAATTTAAAATGTATTTCGAGTTCTCTAACTCCAGTGTCATTATTCGACACAAAATTCAAAATCCAATGTCACTATTTTCAAAAAGTGATCGAGCGTACATTATTTCTTTGAAACTTTGCTTTGATATCAAGTCTCGATCCCACGGCCATTACAGATCTCAGTTGCGCGGGGAGACCGCGGCACCCGAAAACCATCGTCGCCGGAGGAAAAAGAACCTCCCACTGTTCGGCAAAGCTTCTTGGACTATTTTGCTGGAGGATTCTCGGTGAACGTCGGCTAAACGGAGTGCATCCACATCGTGAGATTCGGCTTCCAAACGGAAATGGCGGAGAGCGGAGGGCGTTTTCCGGCGATGGATTTGATGCGGTCGGAGCCGATGCAATTGGCGCAGTTGATCATTCCAATGGAATCGGCTTACCGAGCTATCTCCTACCTCGGCGACCTCGGATTGTTCCAATTCAAAGACGTAAGTGTCAGTCACGCATTTGTCTGTCAATGTAGCATTTGCAAACCCATTATAGCATATTTATTGCTTCATCAAACTCACTACATTTTCTGTTGAAAACTGAATTATGATCACTGATAACTGGTACATCGATTTCAAGCTTTGATGATTTGGGAGGGGGATTGAGGTCTAGTTCAGAGAAGGGCAATTTAGAGAACATGGGACACTGTATTTAGAAAGTAGGCTATTTTGCAAAATGTGGTGTATGTTTCTTGATTAAAAGGCCAGCCATGAACTAGACAGTGTTAGGATCCTACTTATAGATGCTGAGTTTTCACGATGAAGAGGTTAAAATTGGGTCTTTTCATTCGTCAATGATTTGAGTGAGATTTTCGGAGCAAGCCAGTAAAAAATACGGAGTAATGGGTAACCCGATTATAACTCAAGCTTTTTGTGTTGATGACAATGGAAGTGTGAAACACATCCTTCAATTCTTCTTTTCCATTTGCCCCTGGTAAACACAAATCTGTATATTATGCAAAACCTATTTGTATCTAGGCTAGAAGCAATTCTAGGAGAGTAAAATTTTGGATTCCTGCAATTTGCAATTATTACCACGATATTTTGTTATGCTCCGTAGTGAATTAGTAGTTCTGCGTCCCAATTTGACACTTTTAACGTTCTCTTTATTTAATGGTAGCTGTAATCTGCAGCTCAATGTTGAGAAGAGCCCATTCCAGAGGACCTACGCGCTCCAGGTTTGTTGCAATTCTTTAATTCATGCACATTGCTCACATACAGATTTGATGTCTACTACCTCCATTCTTTATTTGTTCCAACATGTTGATTTTTGCACTGCTCAAATGCATTACTTTGGCCGTATTTTTGGTTAAATTATAAAAACAAATTCTGTTATATATTCCCTCTGTCCCATTTTGTGGTACTTACATATTGAAGAAAAAATATTCTTCCAATAGATTAAGAGATGTGGCGAAATGGCACGTAGACTTCATTTTTTCAAGGAACAAATGACAACAACTTGTATCTCACCTTCATCAAGGTCTGCAACGAGCAGTGATCTCAACCTGGACGAATTGGAGGTCTGCTTTGCTTGAGAACATTAAGTATTTTTGCAACAGTTAACTCATTGACTGAGGTCCTTCTCAGTTTTAATGATATACAACATCAGATTCTATGCTTACAAGGCAGGTGGGTCAACTAGTTTATTGATTTGTGGCCAGCTAAAACTTGGAGATCTTGAAGCGGAGCTGGTTGAGATGAATACAAACAGTGTAAAGTTGGAGCGCTCTTATAATGAACTTCTAGAATATAAACTTGTTATGCAAAAGGTGTGTCCGTTTTTTTCTGTAAAAAGTGTAAAGCCATGAATCACAGATTTTTGGCAATGTGTTCCACTAGCTGTTAGTTGTGACCTTTGTTTTGTACACTTAAAATGTTATCCATTTCTATCTTTCTCATTTCAGGCTAGTGAGTTTTTCCATTCAGCTCAAAGCAGTGCTTCTGCTCAGTACATAGAGTTCAAGGAGTACAACCTTGTTGAGGGATTAATTGACAGTCCTCTGCTATTGGAGCAGGTACAATAATGTTCAATCTGCTTTGTTGTCTTCTTCAGAGGTGATGTTTTTCTTCTCTACATTTTGATATGAACTGTTTGGAAATATGTAGACTATGTCAGTTGATCCAGTAAAGCAAGTTAAGCTGGGATATGTCAGTGGCCTTGTTGCAAGAGAAAAATATATGGCATTTGAAAGGATTCTGTTTCGTGCCACGAGGGGAAATGTGTTTGTAAAGCAAGTTGCTGTAGATGATGCTGTTACAGATCCTGTTTCGGGAGAAAAGGTTAGTTTCGGAACTTCAGTGCATTGATCTAGGTTCTTGTTTTATATGTTACTCCTGTCCTTCACTCCTTCATATAACTTCCTATGGTTTCTTTTGGCACACCTATTAAGAAGATGACATTATGTCATTGTGTGGTTGATATTTATTTAGAAAGCAAAGATAAAATATCAACCGTATAATTTTCCTTAAAAGGAAATTGGAAGATAACACACTTCTTTTCCTATAAAGAAATGAGAAGATAATTTTGGGAGGATGAAAAAGTAAAGTGAAATTCTTTGAGGTACAGAGGCAGCATTGGGCACTGACAGTATTTCATTATTATTGTGCTCCTGACTAATTATATTTAGGTTGATAAGAATGTATTTGCTATCTTCTATTCCGGAGAAAGAGCAAGGACCAAGATTTTGAAAATCTGCGATGCATTTGGAGCTAATCCATACCCTTTCACAGATGACACAAGCAAACAATATCAGATAATAACAGAGGTATGAAATGTGCTTCTTTCACAGAATCACAGTTTCTTTGTGATAATATGAACCTTTATGTCATTCATTCATCATTTCTTTTATATTGTAAAGCATCTGCATAATAATGGTTCAATACATTGGAAAAAGCTATTATTGCCTAATAAAAAACTGTAGACTGGAAAAGAAAAAAAACCAAACTCATTTTTATTTGCTCTTTTTGTTACGAAGAAGTAGGTGGTTGCTTAAAATATGTGTGTTTATTGTCGCTAAGGTATCAGGCAAACTTTCAGAATTGAAAACCACTATAGAAGCTGGACAGGTGCATAAAGAAATGCTTTTAAAGACTATCAGCTGCAAGTTTCAACAATGGAACCTTCTGGTTAGTTGATGTTGTTTCTTAGCTGTGGTTACACATACAACAAAATTTTTGGCAAGCATATTTTTTGCTTCTATATGCAAAAATAATTTAAAATCAGCAGTTGTATTATGATTATTGTTGTTGTTGTGTTGTCGTTGTTACTTGTTGCTAACAACTATTGTTAATATTTTATATATGAAGGTGAAGAAGGAGAAATCTGTCTACCACACGTTAAATATGCTAAGTCTTGATGTGACCAAAAAGTGCCTTATAGGAGAGGGCTGGTGTCCTGTGTTTGCAACAAGTCAGGTACTATTTTTTCTTCTTTTCATTAGTCTCAGATGTTAGAGAATGATTATTTTCCAGTGTGCTCCCAGTCCAGATGCTTGGCTTCAGTTCTCACTGCATGTATTTTGAAGTTTTATTTGGTTAAGTTCAGATTGATGATTAAATGATTTTTGGCATGGCTTTGTAGGTACAAGCTGCATTGGACCGAGCAGCTTTAGATTGTAACTCAGAAGTTGGGACTGTGTTCCAGGTGTTGCATACCACAGAATCACCACCCACTTATTTCCGTACTAACAAATTTACTTCTGCTTTCCAAGAAATTGTTGAGGCATACGGGTGAGTAATAGTAACATCACATATAATGGACATGATGGATTATTCATATGTGTGGATAGTTTAGTCATAAACGATCATGGGATGTTTGTGGAGGAACTTAAATGTTGGATGGTTGTTTAAATGCACTTTTCCAGTGGCCTCGAATTCATTTATCAGGCACCTATTGAAGCCCACTTCATAACCTGAGGCTTAGTGTTAAGATGCCGACCAGATGAAACTGGTGCGCTGAGTAGCAGTAGTAACTACCAATTATCCAAAAGGAATAACAACCTAGTAATTAGTGTTTCTTTAGAAGGTTTTGTAACTGAAACTAAAAACTCACACTCCCTAGGCTTTTTGGATTACGAAGCTCGATAGAAGTTCATTACAATCTAATTCGAATATGATAAAAATGTGTTGTAGAACATTAGGTAATAAAGAAGAGTTGGTTTGACCACATGAATAGTTAAAGGGACAAATGAAATGGGACAGAGGAAGTAATACTTATATATTCGACTAATTTGAGCCCTTATGCAATTGTAAGTTTGCTATATCAGAGTATCTTATAGATTATTTGTATAGGGTCGCAAAATATCAAGAAGCAAATCCAGGTGTTTTCACAATTGTGACATTTCCCTTCCTATTTGCCGTCATGTTCGGAGACTGGGGACACGGGATATGTCTGCTTCTTGCATCAATGTATTTTCTTTTCTGTGAGAAGAAACTTTCTAGCCAGGTAAGAATCTCAGTACAAGTAAACCTACTCCACCTCCAGTACTGATCCTGATGTTTCTTCCACTCTACAGAGTACTGTTATACTGAACATGACTATGGATGCTATTTGTTACTTTAGATGGGAAACATGACAAGTTAGGTTTATTTAGAAATAAAAAAAATTAAATTAAAAGAATACGGAACTAACAAAAGTGACAATTTTGTTTTGGTTTGTTAAGAATAGTTTGCTAAAATCTAATGAGATATTTCCTAGAGTTAATTTTTCTTTTAATTTTCAGAAACTATAAGAGTTTTGATCAAATTCATTTTCTCTTTCCAATTTTCTCGGTATCAGAAGCTTGGCGATATAATGGACATGACTTTTGGTGCCCGATATGTTTTTCTGATGATGGCTTTGTTCTCAATATACACTGGATTTATTTATAATGAATTTTTTTCTGTACCCTTTGAAATATTTGGGCGCTCAGCTTATGCTTGTAATGACCCCTCATGCAGGTAAGTAGCAGATTATCAAGTGCATTGTGAAAAATTTTGTATTATTTTTCCCATGCTTGTTCCTAATTGTAGAATCACTTGTTGAAGGGATGCTACTAAAACTGGCTTAATTAAGGCCCATGAAACCTATCCATTTGGCGTGGATCCTAAGTGGCATGGCTCCCGGAGCGAATTGCCTTTTCTTAACTCTTTGAAGATGAAGATGTCAATTCTTCTAGGTGTAGGTCAGATGAATCTTGGAATGATTCTCAGCTACTTCAATGCAAAATTCTTTAAAAATGACATAGATATCTGGTAAGTTGGAATATTTAATATTTTAATTCCTTGTCTATAGTTTATGTTTATTTCATACCAAGTTATTTACTCTCCCCTTTAACTTCTGTTCCATATCATATTGATCATCTATTCTGCATCATATTATTAAATATTCTCTTTGCCCCACTGATTTTTTTCCATCTTTCCTTTTCCCATTGTAATATTTTCCAGTTTCCCCTTTTCATATTTTCTCTTTTCTTCTCAACCACACACTTTTCCAATTTTTTAATAATGAAAGTTGGAAAGTTTAAGGATATGGAGGGAGTATACAACTTCCGCTTTCATACATGCAAATATTTGATGATATTATGGGGGTGTTGGTGTTTGTGCTTATTGGATTATTGATCTGTTGATATTATTTCTCTGTTCTTATTGCTGGTGATATTATTTCTCAGTGTTGATGCTTATTGGCTTATTGCTGATAAACAATTGTTAACTTATAAGTATAGAGAAACACTCACTATGAGACGTTTCCATTTTTAGTGCATACTCTTTACTTTTAGTTTTTAAAGAAATAATAATAATGCTTCAATTGTGTGTTTCAGCATTGGATGTCCTCTTTATTCCTCAGATAACTTTCTTAAAGTGTTAATTCAGGCATCAATTTATTCCCGAGATGATTTTCTTAAACATTGTTGTTTCAGGCATCAATTTATTCCCCAGATGATTTTTTTAAACAGCCTTTTTGGCTACCTTTCACTGTTAATAATTGTGAAATGGTGCACTGGTTCTCAAGCTGATCTCTACCATGTCATGATATACATGTTTCTGAGTCCTACTGATGACTTGGGAGAGAATCAACTATTTGCCGGGCAAAAGTACCTTCAGGTTTTGATGATTCTGCTCATCTTTTGGTATTAAATTAGTTGTGGATTTTAAGGTATCTATTGAATATCCCAAATCAGTTGTCTACTGGGTGTGAGTTCAACAGATTAGTAAACCTCACCCTTTAAGGGATGAGTTAGACCCTATTTTAAAGTATCATTATGGATAACCCCAATATTCTTATATTTCTCTTTTTAAACTGCCAGATTTTGCTGTTATTACTTGCACTGGTTGCTGTTCCATGGATGCTGTTTCCGAAGACATTCATTTTGAAGAAGCAATACCAGGAAGTCTGTCAGAATACCACTTATTATATCAGATTTGATTTCTTTCTTTGTCATGCAGCACATGCGAATATCTTTGTTTAAAGCCATTTCTTGCTTTCTCAGAGACATGGACATGGAAGTCAATCCTACGATCTGCTTCACAATACCGATGATGCATTTGAATTAGAAACAGACGATCATAAGCATGGGGATGAAGATTTTGAATTCAGTGAAGTTTTTATACATCAACTAATTCATACCATTGAATTTGTTCTTGGAGCAGTCTCTAATACGGCTTCATACCTACGGCTCTGGGCTCTCAGGTGTGTGCATCAAGCAACCTTGACTTTGAACTATTTGACTCATATATATATATATATATATATATATATATATATATATATATATATGTATGTATGTATGTATGTATGTATGTATATATGTATGTATGTATGTATACATACATACATATACATACATACATACATACATATATATATATATATACATAGATATATGTGTGTGTGTGTGTGTGTGTATATATATATATATATATATGCCAATCCAACTAATACCATTATTCATATTTTAAATGATACCCTATTTTTTGATGATTTGTTTTTCTATACATTGATTTTGTTTTGATGTCTTCTTCCATAAATGAAATAGTACAGTAGACCCGTCTGTGGACAATATGATATGACATTTTTTTGACACGATGGTCTTGTTTTTTCGTTTAAATAATTGGTTAAAAGTGAGTTCTTGAATGTATGCAGTCTAGCGCATTCAGAGTTATCCAGTGTGTTTTATGAAAAAGTTTTACTTCTTTCAATGGGGTAAGTAAGCCCTTCAACTCTGTTGTTATTGTTGATTTTGTGTGTGTGTGTGGTGGTGGGGGAGGGGGGTGTTGATATGCTGAAATGATTTGATCAATGTCTTACCACTACAGGTTCGATAATGTGATTCTCCTCATAAGTGGAATAATAGTATTCGTGGGTGCAACGGTGGGCGTTCTTCTGGTGATGGAAACTCTGAGCGCCTTTTTGCACGCGTTGCGGCTTCACTGGCTTGAGTTCCAGAACAAGTTTTACCTGGGAGGTGGGCATAAATTCTCTCCCTTTTCTTTCCCCACAATTGGTGAGGATGATGACTGACTTTGCCATGCTTTCCTGTCTACATGAATGGAATATATGATAGAGAGGTTTATAGCAACTCTACAGTTCAAGTGTAACTTTGAAAATTGTCATTAATCTCCACCACATTGTCTCTGTCTTGGGAGTAAAATGAAGGTGGTTGTTTCATAGGCATTTTTTTCCTCTCGTGATTTCATCCATGTAATTTTTTTTGAATGCTACATATATACGAATAACTATTCTATAATATACAACTGTACACAATGTTGAGTGTTGGAACTTGGAATACTGCATGTATCCTTTTCAGAAACTTAATGTCATCTTCTTTTCACAAGTGAAGTTGATTGAGTTTTTATTTGATACCTTGTCGCATAAAAATAGTCTGTTCCAATTTTTTTAGATTTTATTTTTATTTTTAATAGCTCTTAGATCTTAATCTAATGAATCGTATGCATTCTCATTTATTTTACTATGTACTATTCTCATTTGAATTAGATTCATGTCCCTAGTCCCTTGCAAGAGATGTTTATGTAGAACATAAATTATCCTACATCCCCTAGTGAACCACTTGAACAACCTGAACTGTGACCCAGATGACACTACTCCGTGTCCAACCTAACTTTGAATGGATCAGGTTGCAAAGTTTATTTCAGATAACCCGCAACCCTATTGAGTTGCTTACTGTGCTACAGGTCCGATCCAAACCAGACTTGTGCCCACCCCTACTGCCCCAGCGCCCACTGTCCTATATTCACGTCAAGGGTCCCCATCCCAACGCATTGTAGGACTTACAAAGGTGTTGCTCCGTATTTTATAAAAGTCTATTGCCAAAGAATCAAGATGCTACTTATTACTCCTAAGAAAAATACTCATTTATCAAATATTGGAGCATTAAATGTACTAACACTTACAATTCTATCTTTGTATATCAAGCTGACAAGAAGATTAATTCAAAACCTCATGAGATAACTTAACATTAAATACACCCACATGCTTAATAGAAATATATGCTTCATAACATTTCTCCAAGGTAATGGTCCACACATTTTATATATTGTTTGGGGTAACATGGCAAATACTAGAGGTTAGGGCTGTTCTGTGATCCCACAGAAATTCGACCATACAGAACTTTAAAGTACTATTTGTATTTACAAGGGAAGAAACTGAGTAACAGCATCTTATTATGCTACACGATTGATTAAAGGGACCTGAGGAGAAGTTCACTGATCTGTTTAGGAGTTGCTGATGACAGTGGCAGTGACGGTTGACACCATGGAGTCGATGCCACAGACGTTATTGCCCCTGCAAATCTTGTAATACCCATTCTCCCCCCAGCTTTCACCCCAAGAATTCTTGATGATCCAGTATGGCTTCTCTTTCAGCCTGATTGGGGCGTACCCAGCTGACCCATACCCAACCAGCAGCACCCCATGGTCCAAGCGTCTCTTTGAACATATGTACGGGCATGACACTCCTCCAATGTATGTCTGCATGAAAGCCGCATTGATTCCCACTGCAGTTTGGAGATGAGCCAATAAAGAAAAAGTGCAAATGTTAGTCTTCTATTGTCTGTTATCACTCGGCAAATTGGTCAAGGTATGGGTTTACAACACCTAGACCTTAAGGGGGGAAGTTTGGTGTGTGATTAACTCTTCATAAGAAAATGAGGCGATATTAGGTGCACATGACCATATATTAAGGAACAATTTGTCAATGTAATTAATTGATGAGGATATTATAACAACAAAGTAGTTTTTCCTTATGTTATAGACTGAGTAATATTCCCTCCCAAAAATTGCGCATTACTTTTTCAGATATACGTAGTATAAGGTAACATAAATGTGTGTGCCAGGCTCCCCTACAAAGATAGAGAATGGAGGATGGGATGTGGAGCAGGGAGGATCGCATTGACCCATATCAGTCAAGTATGCAATTTTGATCCCTCATTAGAAGTAAGCCAACAAAGGAAGATTTTTCAGAATAGTGCTCCAAAAGGGGTGGGTAAACTACAAACCTGAAAGAGGGCCATGTTTAACCAGATTGGCAGCAATTTGATCTTCATCGAGGGAGACCACACTAAAGTTAGCAACAGATGCAACAATTTTACTTTTGTCAAATTTGCAAGTGCCATCCCTCCCGGTGTAAGGATAGTCCTTTTCCCGCTCAAGGCCACCTGATTTTAGTACATATTCGTATGCAGTTGTCATCAATCCACCATTACACCCTGAATCACAATCATCGGCTTCCTCTGGGTCACACTGCAAATAAAACTGCATTAGTCATACAATATATGAATGATGAACATCATATGATAGAGTTTTTTTTGTTAATTTGGGTTAATTTGGGGTGGCTCTCTGGTCCTAAAATGCTAGTTTACCAGAACATGGTTTAAATCTTTTTTGGAGCAGCGGTTTACTTGTTTAGAACTCGTTGGAGCAGCTATGTTCCAGCTTTGGTTCACAAAAAAAACCAGCTTTTCAATATTTTAGAGCAACTAAAGAAAGAGCTAACAACCAGTTGCGGAAAAGATGAACTTTAGAACATACTCCCATGAAAGATTATTTTTCAATTAGTTTCAAAATGGGTCCTTGTTTCCTTAATACGGAGTATTTTTTCCTCAACATTAGTTTTTAAAGACTTGCATAAATCTCAGGCACAATTTTAGTTTATTACAGAGTTTTAATAAGAACAACCGGTCAAATCATATGAAACGAACAAATTGTTACTGACTGATTGAGCAAATAATAGGGTTAAGTACTAGTACGTATTTCTTTCTGCAGATTAAGTAAAGGTACAGTTAGGTTTTTTAAAAAAGTACAGTTAGAAGGATAGAATTAAACACTGACCAAATGGTCGCAATCCACAAGCTGCTGCTCACTGAGGCTCACTAGCTCTCCTGTTGCGAGAAAGTTTGCTCCTTCCAAAGCTCCCGTGGTGCTAAACGACCAGCAAGATCCACATGAACCCTAGCGATTTCCTCAGTGTCAAAACCACATCTACTGTGTACGCGTGTGCTACTACTCTATATCAAAAGAGAAGTCAGATTATGATATGAAAATACCTGATTCTTCACGCCTGTCACGGCACCATGGTCGCGCCAGTCGAAATCGGCGGGGAGATTGCCGGTCGGCAGGATCTCGGCCTCCTGAGCATGGGAAGGGAGCTTGAGCTTGTTCGATCGGCGTGTATCGATCCCAAGGTAGGTCCGGCGGAACTCACTAGGAGTGAGATCGGAGAACTTGGTGACGCCGTGGACGGCGGATGGATCGAGAAGCTGGCGGCGCCGAGAGCGGCGCAGGTTAGCCTTGAACACGGAGAGCCTGTAGTCGTGCTCCTCCTGGGTGGCGTAGCTCTTGCCGTACTTGCTCTTGAAGAGCGAGAAGTGATGATCGGCGTTGAGCAGAGAGTGGTCCTCGCCGACGGACACAACCTGCCGGATCAACGGATCTTCGTCCGCGACCGCAGATGAGGCGGCCGTCAAGGCCAGCACCAAGAGGGAGAGGAGAAACAATCGATCCATTGGGAATTGGAATTTGGAATCTGGTGGGATTGTGGGAGAAGAAGATCGAAGATGGATTGCAATAATTTGATCGTAAATAAGGGGATGGTTCGGTGGAAGATGAAGCGTTAGGATTGTGACACGTTTCACTTTTCAATTGGCTTTCCTAAAAGCGACAATAGGATAAATTGCTTCCTCAAGTTTACCAATAAAATTGGGTTTGAAATGTCAAAGCATTCTCCAGTTCATTCTCATCCGGCGTATAAGATCACTCGTAATACATCCAACGTCCTCCGTCGTGATGTGTCCTTTAACGCCCCGGACGTGAAACTCCGCCCCCTATCCGGCGTGAAACAGCGTGATCGGGCCAGCGTGAAAGAAATGATGCTACGTCATTCCATTCCCCTCCCCCCTAACGGCTATAAAACCGTTGGACCCCATTTAAAAAAATTTCTTATAAATTCAAACCCCACCCCACGCAATCTCTCACACCTTCTCTTCAATCTTTTTTTCTTTCCATTTTAAATTTCGAAATTACTCATTCTCTATTCAACATGAATCATTCCGACTCCGGCTTCTTTCCCGACAATCTCGCGCTCGTCGACGCCGCGATGTGGTATTACCAAGAGTTGGGCGATCGACCGCCGATGTACGAGACCCAACGGTTGGGGTACGTCGACCAAGATTCGGTTTCGGAGACTCAACCGGAACCGTCCGGATCGAAAAAAGGTACACGCCGGAAAAGCCACAAAGCCAAAAGCACGTTGACGAGGTGACACGGTCAATCCAAAAGTGGACGCTAGAGGAGGAGTGCATATTGGCGTCGGCTTGGGTTGACGTCTCCGAACATCCTATCATTGGTTAAAAATTTATTTTTTGTAATAAATTTATGTTTTTATTTTTATATATTATATTTAATGGTGTCTAAAAAAATGTGTAATACATTTTTAAAGGTACGGAGCAAACGAAGGATGCGATGTGGGATCGTATCGAGGAGAAGTTCTTCACGGCGATGAATAAGGATGGCTCCTACCGAACCCGGGGCCAACTCACTTCCAAATGGAGCCACATCAACAAAAAAGTCCGAAAGTTTATGGGAGTTTAAGAGGGATGTTCCCGGTCCCGGAGGAGCGGCAAAAACGACGACTATGTTCTCTGGCTTGCTACGACCCGGTATCAAGACGACGGGAACCAAGGCAAGGTGTCCATCGATCTTTGGAGGATTTTGAGTTGTTCCCCGAAGTGGCAAGAACTCAACAATCCCGACGGCGGATCGTTCCGGAAAAGATCCACCGTCGACGCCGAGGTTGAGGTCGACGACACTATCGGTTCTAGCGATAAAATCTCTCCCTTCAACGTTGCGGATTCCGATGACGAGGACCCCATTCCACGGCCTATCGGAAGAAAGAAGGCAAAATCCATTGCCTCGGGATCAGGAGGGTCCGCCTCTCTTTCCGCTTCTCCCCGCGACGAAATCGGTCGGGCAATGATTGAACAACTTCGGGCTTTCAATCTCCAAGAACAAGAGAGGTTGAAGCTAAAGGAGAAGGAGTTAAAGCTAAAGGAGCAGGAGGCTGAGATGAAAGTCATGCAAACTGACCCAGGGACGTTGTCGAAGTTTGGACGAATGATCTATGAGCAAAGAATGAGAGAGATCAAGGAGAAATATAATTTACCTTAGTTTTTTAATTAATGTATCCTTTTTTAAATTATTGACGCTTTTTTATGTAATGAATTTATTTTTTTATTTTTCTTGTTTCAATTTAATTAAATAATAAATTAATTACATTTTATTAATTTAATTTTAGAAGATGTATATTTAAAAATGTAAAAAATAAAGGTTTGAAGCCCAGTTTTGAAGCCCCGAGGCTTCAAACCCATTTCCAGTGAATTTTGGGTGTAAGTTAAAGCTGACGTGACAGAGAGAGAAAGTTTGAAGTCCCGGTTTGAAGCTTCGGGGCTTCATAACCATTACCAGTGCTCTAAACTAGTCACTCCAATAAAAATATTCCAACTCCACCTTATGATATTTGATTGAAGTTAATTTTAAATGATTTTATATGAAAAGTCGTATGAAATTTTAAAAAACTTACATACTTAAAAGTTTTATAAAAAAATCAACAAAATTAGAGGTATTTTTAAATAATATAATGTTAAATATTATTGAACATTAAATTACTAATAAGAGCAAGTTTAGCGGGGGAGGAATCTTTATGAAGAGAAATAACTAACTAATATAATATAATTCGGCCCGGTTTTAGTGACACCGGAAAACGGTGCCACTAGCGCTGCCATTGCGTTTTTGGGCACCTCCGGTACCCCGTTCGTAAAATTAACGGTTCTTACCCTCTTAACTCACCCCCTAAACCCCCCACCCTGCACCCCCACCCCAATCCATAAGCCCCCTACAAAATGTGTGGCTATTATGCAATGCATAATAACCATACATTTTGTAGGGGGCTTACGGCGGGGTTAGGGTGGGGTGCAGGAGTGGGGGTTTTAGGGGTGAGTTAGATGATAGGAATCGTCAATTTTACGAAAGGAGAACCGGAGGTGCCCAAAAACGCAGTGGCACCGGAGTGGCAACGTTCTCCGGTGTCACTAGAACCGGGCCGAATATAATTTCATTGATTTAAACAAAATCACAATCCCGAATAAATTAAAAATAACCACCCAAAAAAATAAGAATAAAATGATAAAAGAAAAATGTGACGACCTATTGGATAGTGTCATTTTTTTTACATCATTCTCGTGAAATTAATAAAAAAAGCGAATGAAATTTGATCAAATGATAAGACAATTTTATTTGGGACGTTGTAAACGTTGCAGCCTTGCAAGTTCTACCAAGTATCCGTCATTACAAGTTTTCCAATACATATATATTCGGCTTCAAATTGGAGCGCGGCGCTGCATCAATCGAAGGTAAGGCCAAATGTGCAAGCAATGTTCCTTGATTTGGTTCTTTTTGCTCCTGTTATTTATAGGGATTTGCCACTACAAAGACCAAGAAAAAACGACCAAGTTGTTGAGCCAGAAGAATATGGGGTTTATACATGCAAGGGAGCATTGCATCCTGAGATGTGAGTATGCGACTAGAGCAAGGCTCTATTCCCACACAGATTTGACATTTTGTTGTGAATTCCTGTTTTATTTTTCTTCTAAAAATCACGAAAGTGTTCTTTAAACTTTGACTTTTTTTCAAAGGATGGAGCTTTACCTTTTTAGCATTATAGTTCTAAATATGCAATTTTCAAATCAATTAAACTATTATAACTTTAATCAAACATCATTTTTTATTTAATAAAAAGAGGTAAATTTTATATGGAGGATACATAAGGAGTGTCGTGAGGATGACTGATTGATTGTGAGTGTCGCTCTATAGGGAAGTACATCTCTTTTTCTTTATTTAATCTTTCATTTTCAGTCCTCAAATACATGCAATCAGGATGTAATACGTGTTTTGGTTTTTGGCTTGTTCAAATTGAGCTCTTTTAGATTTTGGTTGTTTGAAGTTTTTGAGGGTAATTTGCTTGGACTTTTGGTGATGGATCTCAAAGTATTTACACTATACATTAGGTCGTATTTGAAACCCAATTTGTATATTTAGGATAGAACGAAATGTAAGTGTTTTAAAAGCTTCATGCTTGATTATCTAAATTGGAAATGATGGCTTGATGTTTTTTTATTTTATCTTCATATTTGGATTTGTGTATCTCAATCTAACTTTATTATTTGAGCTCTATTTTGGATTTTATGTGTTTGAGTTTAGCAGCATTTTTAGCTTTATGTCGGGGCTTTAGACTTTGAATTAAAGTTTATTTTTTATTTAACATTGGAGTTGGATTCCCTATACTTAAACTTATAATTTTAGATGCATTTCAAAGTTTATAGAACATTTTGATATCATACTCATTATATCAAAAATAAAATTAGAAGTTAATTACAATTTAATACTATCTTACTTTATCATTTAGTCAAAACTGGATCTCTTTACAAGAATGAAGAAAATAAATGGATTCAATTAATATAAAATTAGTCAACGATCCTAAATCAAGTTCAACCATTTTTTGGGAACTATGGGGGGTGGTGGGTCCCACATACACCACCGGATAGAACCATCACTATTTAGTGCATTAATGTGATGGTAATTAGTTGATGCTCACAAGCAATTGCTTAGAACATGATGGAATACTATTGCATTAGTCAAAACATAAATCAAATACTCCCTCGATCAGCTCCGATTTAAAATTATCTTCCAAATCACTCTTAATTATTTTTATTAGTTATTCAATAAAATAATATAATCATGTCATCATTTGTTTTGTATAACTTTTAATGTGTTTTAAAATACTCATTATATAATTTTTACATTTTAATTTGACACCTATAGACAAATATTTGAATTGAAAATAATTTCAGTCAACCTCGTTAACCGAACTGAAAAGATCATTTTAGGACTGAGGGAGTACATGTTATCTTCGACTCTGAAAATATTCACGGGCGGATGTAGTACATGCTACTTTCATCCCAATTTTTTTTCTTGTTGCTCATTACTAAAAAAAGATGAGCCCTATTACCGAAATCCCTTCAGATTTTTAATCACAAATTGGCTGGTAAAAGATGTAATCTGTATCTGAAACTTCTTGTAGAGTCCCTATATTTAGTATAGTTACCTCCAACGTAGTTTACGGGAATCAAACTTGAGACTTACCTTCTACAGATCATTTGTCTTGCAAGTTGAGCCACACTCTCCCCTCTCCCTGACCCCACACGCTTTTTTTGCTCATTACTCATATATAATATAATTTTAGTCAAATATAATAATCTATAACATAATAGTCTTTTTAGGGAATATTCGCTAAGATGAGAATCTCCAAACCTAGGACCTCTTTCAAGAACAAAACGTGATTTCTTTGTTAGATGACATGTGTTCTGGATCCACCTTTGACGAAATCTGACTAATCCTGATCGGGCGGGTTTGTGGATTAAGGCCGAAAGTCTCCCGGCAGATAGTGAGGTTTGAACTCATGACCGTAAGTGTTGACGAGTAATTAGAATATATCAAAAAACTACATTTTCAAAACAAAACCACCCCAGGAATTTTTTAAAAGTATTTTCAAATCAAGCACGTCTTCTTTGTCCCGGCAAGGATCGGATTTCCCTTAGCTTTTTGGTTGGATGTGCATTTTTTTGTGTTGGGATGATAATGCTTGGAAACAAGTTGAAACGATGCAGAAGAGGACAAAAGGTTAAAGATTTGCCAACCCTTTTACTTCTTTGAGCATTAAATGTCACTTTGTCATTTTGTTATATGCCTTCTTGAATTGACATAGTCAACTTGTCTCAATACTCTCTCCTTTTCAAACAAATATCTTTATTTTCTTTTTTGTCCTTTTCAAATAATTTTTTTATTTTTTATTTCACAACAGAAAAAGATTAATAGCTACTTATAACATTTCTCTCCGATCCTCGAAATAAATTATATACTCACTCCCTCCCAGAAAATATTTCTTCTTTCTTTTTTCATCCGTTCCAAAAAACACTTCTCATTTATATTAAAAAGTCACTTTTACCACTTACTTTTTCATACACTACCTATCACATCATACCTTTTTATTAATAATATATCTATCAAATCATACTTTTACTCATCACATCAAAAGACATTTTTGGAAATTCAATATCAGAATACACTCCCCTTAAATCCATCTCCAAAACCAAAAGCCACATGTTTTCCGGGACGGGGGGAGTACATAATTTTTCAATTTATTACAATTTTATTAAACTATATGAAGTCGATCAAACCTTATTTTTAATGCGGGAAATATTTAACTAGAACTAAAACTTGTTCAATATATCAAAATACTAGGTTCATTTTATTTATATGAAAAATACGACTTATAATGTCAATAATGAAAAAATATAATGTCGATAAGAAGAGCTAGCATGCACATATATGTGGGATGCATTTTTTTCCAAACGTCATTTTCTTGTAAATTTTAGGTAGTAAAATTATTTTTAAATTATAAATAATTTAAAAATTAGAAAAATAACACATCTCATCCTACTCTTTTATAAAGTAAGGGAAAAATTAGAAAATAACACCAAAATTACTCATTTTAAAGGCGCGCCTTTTTTGAAACATGAAATGTTTTATGAGACGGAGGGAGTAGTTTTCAACGAATGATGTATCATTTATGTAATGTCTTATAATTGAGAATTAAATATGAAAAACCATATATAATTAGGAACCGTTTGTAAAATTTATTTTTATTTTTTAATCAATCATTATGATTTTCTTTAAATTAACGTTAAAAGATGAATGAATAGATAAATACATTACGTTTATATTATTCAATTTTTAGTACATTAAAAATTGATAAGAGCTATAAAGTGCAGTAGTTAAATGTAAAATTTTCACTAAAGAGTACTTAAACATACTCCCTTAATTCTTGAAAGGAGTTTCACTTTTGACAAAGTGGTCTAGCTTGCAACTAGTTGTAGGACCTCAGGCGCTACCAACTCTTCTAAAACCAATTGGTATTAGAAGAGGCGCATACTCTAGTCTTATAGTTCATTCAACACACAAGTGCCCATGACATTCGATTGTGACTTGACCCACATAGCCTTCGCCACAGAATAATTGACACACACATGCTAACAATCTCCCCCTCAGCAGTTGCTCCCGCTGGGAATCAAACTCATGA